TGAAATAACCTCTTGCCATTTTTATACATTACCTGGAAAAAAATAAAAACCGCTAAGACTCTCGTGGTGGATTTTGCTAATGGAAATAAAATGCATTAAATGTGTGTTACTAACTAGTCTATGAGAAAGTTTGTGGGTTTTTGCTAGAGCTACTTTGGCATATACTTTTCTATTACTTTTAACTACAGAAAGTTAAAAATAACTGTCAATGCACAGAGTCAACATTTTGCCTTTTTTAAGCTAGGAAAAAAAAACTCATTTAGAAGACAAAGAAATGTTCAGACAGGTACTGTGGAGTCTATGGTTTGCATTGTTAGGAATATCAGCTTGGGAGGGCAACACTGAGAGGACTGATGCCCTGGGGCTGATTTAGAGGATGAAATCCAGACTTGTGTTCTGTGAAAACTCAACACAAAAAGATCAGCATGATCTTTTCCTAATGTTTCAAGGTTTCAGAATAGCAACACAAAATATCACCTTATGGCATAAGGTTAAACTGTTAAGACCATCTTCGAATTAAAATATGAAAGCAAGGAGATGAAAGTTTTAACAATTTTATTTGTAAACTATCTTTTTCTAGTGCCGATGTTTTGTATTCTTCAGACATTTTTTTGTAGCATTCTAAAGGCTACCTTCCTTAAGCTCTACCCATTTTTATTAAGCAAAAAGGAGAAATATACATAATATTTTTGTTTTTCTTTCAAAAATATTGCTGCTTATATAGTATGGTGTGTACTGAAAAGGCAATTAACCATGACAACCAGTACTTCTTAAGTCAGGGCTTTTCAACTGTTTCTAGTTCACTTAGACAACAAAAATAAAAATAATGAAAACTAGCCCTCTATAATGCTCTTTGAAATTTCCAATTGTAATAAATACTATGACTACAGACAAAAAAAAATGGTAAAAATGTGTATCTTTTATAATTATGCAGCCCCTTTCTGTTAAATTCACAATCTGTTCTATTTCCCCCAACTCTTCCGGTCGATCCTAACCTGGTATCCCAGGATGAGACTCACTGTGAGATGCTCTTGCCTAGGTTTCTCATTTTAAGTATACAAATCTAAACAACCATTATAGTCTGTGTTTTTCTCGGGTTAGACATCTATATATAACACCAAGAACAGAAAGTCAAAGAACATCCAAGGCAAAACTTCATGGAACACCAACATTCCATTAGGCAGTTGAGCAAGAGGAAATTGGAAAAAGTTACTCATGGAAAAGAAGTAAGCACCTGAGGAATTCACAGAAAAGTAAAAAACCATGTTATGTTGTAGCTAAAGGGCTGTAGTGGTTTAAAAATAAGTCCACAAATTTCTGTAAGCTTCTTCCTTCAAGACGGAGAGCCTAACCCTCCTCTTCTTGAGTGTGGTTAGACTTAGTGATTTCCTTCAAATGAATAGAACAACCCAAAATGTTAGGTACAACTTGGCAGGTGAGGTGCTAACAGGTACGATAGTTTCCTCTTCACTCACTCTCTCTCAGATCGCTAACTCTGAGGACACCCAGCAGTCACGTTATAAGGAGTATTCCACTTAGTAAGGAACCATGGTGGGAACGGAAGGGAGGAGACAATGAAGATATACAAAATTAGAAATTGTGGTTAGTGAGTATGAGAAAAGGTACTTTAAAAATTGGTTCTGGAGTGTAAGAGGAAAAGAGAATGGTACCTGGAGTAGTCTCAGATCCAGAGCAAGTTATTAAAGATGTAGGAGACAAGAGAATATATTAATAACATAGGACTTGACATGTAGACAGGATAAATAAGGAGTCGGAAAATACTGGGAGGTAAACCACATTTATGGAAAATTCTTTTGCTGCAGTTGCCTTGATACATAAATTGATGCAGAAAATTTAGCTTACACCTTGCTACCTTAAGGAAAAACTAAACTAAACAATATCAATAATAATAAAAAGCAATAATAAATTGGGAAACCTAAACATTGAGTTGGAAAAGTCAACTTTTGGGCAAAACAGATGCCAAGCACTAAATTTAAATGGATTATACTAATTTATTAAAATAATAAAATTCTCAAGGTAGATTGCAAATAAAAATACGCTATCATAAAGCATTCTCAACATGAATAATTTTACATTGACAAAAATTAATCAATGTTCAGAGGCATACCAGATTGCAACTTGTGCATCAAAACCAAAGTATCAACATCAAAGAAGCAAAATCTTCAGAAAAGACAGGAGAAATAGATTTTAAAAAATAACAAAACAGGGCGGAGCCTGTGGCTCAAAGGAGCAGGGCGCTGGAGGTGGAGGTTTCAAATCCAGCTCTGGCCAAAAACTGCAAAAAAAACCCCAAAGAAACAAAAAAAGAAAAACCCAAAAGTAGCAGCAAATGATAAGGTCTTTTTGCAACATTTAATAGATCCAGAACCTCCCCCCCAAGTAAATCCCACAAAAAACAAAGCAATGCAATTTTTAAATCTAATATTATATATATTATTATTATGTGATTTTTACTAAATGTATGTGTTTATGTGTGTGTGAATATTTCAGAAGACAAGTGAACACATATTCTTTTCCAAATTCCTAAGTAATATTGACAAATTGACCATATCTCAGGCCTCAGAAAACAGCTTACTAAATTCCAGAGTTAAAGCCATATAACCTCAATACAATAAAATGGAAATTAATTAACAAGAAAGTATAATAATCTTCCCACCAGGAAATGTCAAATTTCTCTCTTACACATCTTTTTTAGAAAAAAAATAGGAAACCAAACCAAAACTAGAAATGATTTAGAAAATTATGTCCAGTGAATTGTATAGTTTTGAACCCAGGAGAGCAGAGCGAAACAGCATGCAGAGAAAATGTAATATGTAATATTAAAGGCAGTATGTGTCCAATTTTAAAATGCAAATATAAGAAAAGAAATCAGAAAAAACAAACATAAGTTAATTAATAACAAACTGTTCAATGTTAGAACAAATAAATAAATTCTATTATTCTTTCATGGGAATCAAATTGGGAATATGAGTAAGAAGTACAGTGACATCATTTTATCAATGACAATAAAGAAATAACTATAGACTATTGAAAAACTAGTAGAATTCTAAAAGTACTAAGGTGTTCAACTATTTACAAGTCAGTTTGACTGAAGATATGGATGTTTTTTTTTTTTGAAAATACAAGCTATCAAACTGGCCCCAGAAGATGGGTCTGAAAAACTACCAAGACCATTTGCTATTCAAGAGACAAAGTTGACTAATATCTGTTTCCCAGATGGTTTGATGGTTTGACAAGGGAATTCTTCCAAAATTTCAAGTAACAGATAACTGCAATTAAATTTCAATTGTTCAGAGCATAGAAAAAAAAAAAGGAAATTTCCTAGCATTTTTAGAATATGCACATCACTTTGATAGTCAAATCACAGTAAAGGTCAACACCCAGAATCAAACCAGATTATTCAAGCACATGTCCCAGGACAAAATCATTTTAACAATAACTTTAGCAACATTAAACTGTTTAGTTAATAGCTAGTAAAACTATTGCAGTTTATTCCTAGAATATTAGCGTAAATATTAGTATAGCTATCAATGTGAATCAATATATTTAGCAAGTCAGAAATGACAGTCATATAAATCTCACTAGGAGTGAAAAAATGTATTTAATTTCTAACATGTATTTATTTTTCCAAATGTGTTTAAAATCTAACATTTATTTTAAAATATAATATAGGAAAATTGACTATTTTGTATGCAAAAATGGCATATATACATATGAATGGAGACATCATTAGCAACATTCTCCGTAAAATCAGTAATAAAGAAACAAAGTGTGTCATTATATTTGAATTATAAATTGCTTCAGAGGTATTAACTAATGATATTATGGAATAGATTGACATTTGATTTACAAACAACAATTAGAAAGGAGAATTTTGAATTATTGATACTTGACAATAATAGATATTTTTTTTCTTGGAAAATCCAGAATGATCAAATGGAAGACAATTATAAATATTAAGAAAAAGTGGCTACAGGGCTGGGTACAAAATTAATGCCATAAAGGAGGTTCTCATATGGACAATCATGAAAAATAAGAATAAAACATCAAAAGGTAGAGAACAAAACATAATAGAAAATATAAAATCCTCTATGAAGAAACTGTATATCCCACTGAGAAAAAGGAAAGCAAGCTTAGCACAAGGCAAGATGCACTCTTGGAAAAGAAAATGCAACATCGTAAGAATGTCAGTTCTCCCTGAATTTAATCTGAAAACCTAATGTGATCCCAGTAAAAATAACAACAGCTTATTTTTAGAAACTGAACAAGCTGATTCCAAAAATAAAGCAGGAAAAAAAAAAGGCAGAAATGTCCTAAAAACAGAGAAAAGAAGCAAGAAAGGAAGAGAGAGAATTATGGTTTTTTCGTCCTATTATTTTAAACTTGGAATAATTAAAGCAGCAGGATTCTGAAGAGAAAGGCAATTCATGGACTACTATTAGCATTTTTACAATATTATTATTAGTTTATGTTTTGAAACCTGAAATCAACCAATGGCTCAACGCTATAATTCATTTTTATAAGACTTGAATCAAAAAATTTTAAATAAAAGCACAGTGGAGAACTGTCGAGAAATAACATTATAC